CATTGTGCAGTGGGTGGTTGGTTGAAATGAGAGTAGGGGCACGCCATTTGTCTTGCTATTTATTTGCAATTATGAGTAAAGGTAAAGCTATGCCCTTAACAGACCGTGGAGACCCATGGGGTTGTGAGACGTTCACAGAAATGGGTACCAGGATGGCCGACGCGTAAACCTGACAACGTCACCGACCGTCTGTCAGCCGATTGTCTAGAAATTGTGGGAGCCTCGACGTCTCACAGCCCTATGGGTTTCCCGGCCTGTTACAGGGATAGCTTTAGTACTAGTGCATGCTCTATCAGATATGTGGCTCTATACAATTTGTTTCTTCCTTTCCCTCATCCCTTTCTAGCCTTTGTCTCCTTCCCTCCTTTCTCCCACATTCCCATATTCGTCAATACGGCAGTCATTACGCTCCCCTCACCCTAGGAACGATGTCCAGTATTTTTATGCTTTAGTTAAGGCTTTTTTTCTGTATTCCGTCTCCTACGTTTTCTAGGTGGCTCCTAGAAGTATAGGAGTTATAGTGCATGCCTCTTTCAGGTAATGTCTCAGTGGTATATTTTGGTACATCTCTGAAACACGTTGAGTGAGTGCGAATTATATGACATAATTTTAATGATTTTAGAGCTATGGAACGTTCTCGCAAGCGTCTCCTTTCGGAGACATTTATCAAATAGTCGCATTCAGTTCTTGAGCATATAAACCTAAGTGTCTTCCTCTGATCTACTGGAATGTTGTTGTGCATAGACACCTTCACCTGTTTCCCTCTGTACGAGTTATGTTTAACTGATATGTTGTCGCATGTAGTACACTTGCTAGCTTGTGTTTTGTCATTTAGTTTGCATGATTGTTTCTCTCCGTGCCAACAGGTGTGCTGTGTTCGCCCTCTGCTCCACTTCGAGTGTCGACTGAGGCAAGGTAAGTTACTGCTCTCTTGTGACCTGCTTCTGTGAAAATGTTCATTGAAATGCATTTCAGCCGCCCTCTGATGGTACGCTACTACGTCACCAAACTCCACTCAGCTCGCTAACATGTATGCGGGGCTATATTTCGCTTCACCTGAAAATACATTAATTTACAGGTAGCGGCCATTTTTATTGGGGTCCTTCTCTTTTCATTTGGCGATTATACAATGTGTCCTAGGAAGAAAGGTAATTATTCTGGGAGGTCATAGCATCTGTCATTCTAAGCGAGAAAGTGTATATGTTCATGTGTCCTGTTCCGAACGGTTTCCGAGATACAGCAATTTCACTGCACAGTACTGTACTGTACACTGTACAGACGAGCAACACGCCATGTCCTCACAAGAGTTGCAAAGTGCATTTATGTTACCGGTGGAATTTTCGAAAATGTATTACGCTTGGTAAACTGTACCAACTTTGTCACTTGAACAATAAATACCGGTCCATGCTGTGTATGCATCGACCGTCTTCTAGTGCACACAATCTCACTTGTCACTTCACTACATGTTTCGGCATCACTGTGCCATCCTCAGGTGTGTTATTTACGTTAAATTATTGCACTACTCGCCATCATGTGTCGTTTGTAAAATGATATATAATGTATATTCGTTATGTACTATTAAAATTGATATATTAAATTTTGTTAAGATTTATCATTTTATACGTCTTTTTTGAAACTCGCGTATTATATCAGTCTTCCGCTATGGGAGTCGTTCTTCCTATATTTTGTGTATACTTTTGTGTATTTTGTGTGTACTTCGTCTTATGATGTGTCCTTCTCGTAATATATAAGTTTTATTATAGTACATAACGAATATACATTTTAAATAATTTTACAAACGACACATGATGGCGAGCAGTGCAATAGTTTAACGTAAATAACACACCTGAGGATGGCACAGTGATGCCGAAACATGTAGTGAAGTGACATGTGAGACTGTGTGCACTAGAAGACCGTCAATACATACACATCATGGACGTGAATCAATGCAACAGGACGCTGAAATACAACATTAATAAATACCGGTATTAGAAACAGTAATGTCTCTTTCTTATCAACAGTTCTGGAACTGTACGGTGGAATAGCTGTATCTCGGAAACCGTTCGGAATAGGACACATGTACATANATCAACAATTCTGGAACTGTACAGTGGAATAGCTCTATCTCGGAAACCGTTCGGAATAGGACACGTGTACATATACACTGTTTGCTTAGAATGACAGATACTGTGACCTCCCAGAATTCTGACCTTCCTCCTGGGACACTCTGTATAGTTTGTGGCGCACAGTATTACACTTTGTGCGAAGTCNGCTTAGAATGACAGATACTGTGACCTCCCAGAATTCTGACCTTCCTCCTGGGACACTCTGTATAGTTTGTGGCGCACAGTATTACACTTTGTGCGAAGTCAGCTTTGCCCCGTTATATAACGATGGGAAATTCATGCAAACATAAAACCCTTTAAAATTTCAAAATAAATTTGTTGCTTATTGAATCTGGGAATAAAATCCACAAAGAAAATAATTATTATGAACGCGCGACATATTTCATCTTTGAAGCAGGACGTTAAAAATTAATCTTCGACAAGAAAAAGAACTGGGAAGATACACGTTTATACTAAAGCACTGACTGAACCTATAGCTATAGGTTGCTATATTCACTAAGCTGTGTTGCTATCTGGATGTATATTGCAAACCGCTGTCAGGAACAAAGGGAACTTCAATACCGATTCAAGCATATCTTTCACTCCATTCATTGCTGCCATATTCTTATCCTGTTCGCAACTACTATCAACTATGAATGTACGTAAGGACAAAAGAGCGAACTCTTTTATATAGAAATGTCCACGTAAGTACACGGTGTTTTAAATTGAGATTGTGGAAAGTGGCTTCTGTGTGTTTCATCGATTATAATACGACACGAAGACTTTATTTTGTATATTGTAAATAAATGTATGGAGACAATATGATATTAATATTCTACTCAGGACACTTATTCTGCCAGTGACTGCTAAAACCGACATTTTTATTTTTGTGTATTTTCACAGCGGAAATACGAAGTGAGATTAGGTCTTAACGTTCGCCGTCAATGTAGGCATATTTGTATTCCAGCCCGTGCTATTGGTGGAGAGCCTATAATCTAAGGGCAAACGGTAGGCTTGGTATCATACAAAAAGTGGCAGGAGAAAGTGACGCACCGCGAACATGACAGTTCATCTGAAACATAAGGTTAAAACTGTCCCTGTAACAGGCACTGCAGGCCCATAGGGCTGTGAGACTTCGAAGCTCCCATATTTTCTAGATAATCGACTCAGAGATGGCGGTGAGGTTGTCACCCTTACGCGCCGGCCCTTTACCCCCATTAAGATTCATGATCCTCATTTCTCTTAGAGGATGAGTCGACTCCATTGTCATAGTGCGGCTGAAAGGATTAGGTAAATTGAAAATCCAATGATCGCATTGGGAATCTAAGCCGCATCATCTCGGCTTGTAGCATAGTGCCTCAACCAAGTACATTACCTCCCAGAGAAGAAGCTGCAAGCTGTATTGTGAGGTCTGAGGTTATCACGGCGTTGGCAGTGAAGGTTATGTATGTCCTCTGGTTTTATAACTCCGTGTACTGTCACAGGCATGTATAGTCGTTTCGGTGTAACCTGCTGCCCTAATCTTCTGCCATAACGCTGGAACCAGAAGAATCCTCCGAAAGGTTGATAGGTATATACCAGACTACACAGCGTCACAGCGAAGAGATTATTTTAGAGGTAACGCTTCTATTCGGGACCTGCTCAGGTTGAATTTCGGGCGTATATGGACTCCTGGGTTAGGTTTTCTGTGCTTTCCCACAGTTCCTCGAAGCAAATGGTAGGATGCTTCCTTCTTAATTATTTCCAATTCAAATGTCGCCACACAGTCTGTGGCAGTCTGTGGTACTAAGAGCGTGGTAAAACAACCCACTGAGCCTCTGCCTAGTGACAGATCCCAAACGCTACAGGCCCCTCGGTAAACGTTTCATTTGAGTACGCTTGAGCGAGGAGCCGACACGCAAGGCACGGCATGTAGTTAGTTTGCAGGAGATGGCCGGACGTTGCGCTCCGCTGGCCAGTAGTCTTCTCGTGCTCCGTTTTCGGGAGGTCACATTTTTAAACCTTGGCACGTGATCGGCTATCGTGACTAAGGTTTTCCGTCAGATTTGCACAGTCAATCCAGGCAAATGACTGTTTAGTCAGCGTACTTCAAATTAGGTCATAAAACCTTCCTTCCACACACTTTACAGCGTATTCGACATTCTATAAATATTATGTTTCTGGACATTATCCATCGGTCTGTTTTTATCTAAAACACCGTCGTGTGTAAAAACTCAGCATTTCTAATTGGGCCCAACTGAGTAGGTTTTACCTAAAGACGGAGACAGAATCCAGTCTCCGAAACGTAGTGGTTTTGGGTCCGGAGATAGGGACCAGCCCTATCGATTGAACCCAAATGAGTAGGTTTTACGGAGGCAGAATCCAGTCTCCGAAACGTAGTGGTTTTGGGTCCGGAGATAGGGACCAGCCCTATCGATTGAACCCAAATGAGTAGGTTTTACGGAGGCAGAATCCAGTCTCCGAAACGTAGTGGTTTTGGGTCCGGAGATAGGGACCAGCCCTATCGATTGAACCCAAATGAGTAGGTTTTACGGAGGCAGAATCCAGTCTCCGAAACGTAGTGGTTTTGGGTCCGGAGATAGGGACCAGCCCTATCGATTGAACCCAAATGAGTAGGTTTTACGGAGGCAGAATCCAGTCTCCGAAACGTAGTGGTTTTGGGTCCGGAGATAGGGACCAGCCCTATCGATTGAACCCAAATGAGTAGGTTTTACGGAGGCAGAATCCAGTCTCCGAAACGTAGTGGTTTTGGGTCCGGAGATAGGGACCAGCCCTATCGATTGAACCCAAATGAGTAGGTTTTACGGAGGCAGAATCCAGTCTCCGAAACGTAGTGGTTTTGGGTCCGGAGATAGGGACCAGCCCTATCGATTGAACCCAAATGAGTAGGTTTTACGGAGGCAGAATCCAGTCTCCGAAACGTAGTGGTTTTGGGTCCGGAGATAGGGACCAGCCCTATCGATTGAACCCAAATGAGTAGGTTTTACGGAGGCAGAATCCAGTCTCCGTAAAACCTACTCATTTTGGGTACAATCGACAGAGCTGGTCCCTATCTCCTGACCAAGAGGCACTACAGCTGCCGACCAGCTGAACCAGGATCAGCTTCTCGGAGACTGTACACCATTCTCTGTGTTACGCAATACGGCGATTATCTCCAGTGCAAACACCGCTAGAGAGTGACTGAAATTTCTTTTTAATTCCTGCAGAGGTAGGAACTTTTCCTCCACTTAGCAGGGGGGGATCTATCCTCCTGCAAGAACGATATTGTGGCAGTTTCTCCGGGGATGAAGCAACCGGAACGTGAAGCTGATCACTCATCTCCACTTATACACACCCACTACCGTCTTAAATACAACTTTATTTACAATTATTCTTTTACATAAAAATTAAACAACCATTAGGAATTGCCACATGTTTCGACCGTACTCGGCCGTCTTCAGAACTAATTTGCCATATTGATACAGTATATTTTCATTGTAATTAAGATTAATTATGCAAGTTAAAATATTTAAGTGTTTTCCATATTTGTGTCATTCATTCATTAAAAGACATTTGTTTGAGAATACTCGTTACGTTTTCATGCGCTACTTCCATTCTGTGACGTCAGTGTTTTGTGTAGCTCGTATGGATGTCGGTATGGTGTTATTATCTTCTCATTATGTGCCCCAATCTACTCCGCTGGACTAGCTGATTGTGTGTGTCCATCTAGTGCCGAGGTCAAGAATATGTGGGTCTATATCTCCACTCCCATATAGTTACCGTGTCTTTTTATTTAATTAAGCACAGGGACAGTTTTATCGTTCTACTTGC